CAGCTTGCTGATTTGGATGCAAAACCGCTTAATGTTCTACAGGGCAATAAAAACAAAGTCTTGGAGGTTTTCTTTTTTACTAATCAGAAATCACTTGCAATTTCACAATTTTCTAGTAAGCTAACATCTAATCCACAAGGTGTGCGGAACGCGCAGTAAACAGGAGCGCGTCTGCAGAGCAGAGCGCACCCCGCCGGGCAGGAGGGGAGCCAGCGCCCTCTGTGACTTTCTAGGGGAGCGGTCTTCGGGGCCGGTCTTTTCTGAGTTTGGGATCATTTTTCTTCGCAAATCATATTTGGGCTCAAGGGCTAAAAGATGACTAATCAAGATGGGAAAAAGTCCTTGGTGGAAGTAACTAAGTCGTTTTGAAACGGAGTTGTGAAACTCAGGAGTAAGAGGGCGGCAACCAGGAGAAAAGGTGAGCTGCAGCCTGCCGGGCGCCAGCACCCTCCTGGGGCGCCCCAGAGGCCCGGGCGCCCTCCTGATGGTGAACCGGTCCGGGGTGGGAGGGAGCGCCCAGTGGGAAGCGTGGAGGCTCCTGCTTGAGAAACTTGACTTGGCTTGAAAGAGCTGGACCAACAGACACAGTTGACCACTGTCCCTGGGGGAGGCTGAGGCTGAAATCAAGACAGTGCGAGCGGAGCCCAGGGATAACGCTGCGCTGCCCTCGGGGCGACCTGCCAGGAACCCGCGGCGAACTTGTGGCAGAGGAGAGCAGAGAAGTGGGCGCTGCGGGTGGTGCCGAAGCGCCAGGCCTGGTTTACCTGCTGTGTGCACCCAGCAGCCAGGGCTTGGCCCCGAGGCCCCGAGGCTGCTGGCACCCAGCTGGCGGCCGGGCACAGTCAGAGCAGACCAGGGCACCTCCAAGAATGGCTCCGGCTTCTCTCTGCGCTTTCTTTTTCTCAGTTTTCGACATTTGCTTGGTTACGTGATACTTGCTGCACACACAGGGCTGTGACCCATCCGTGCGGCGCCAAGTGCGGAGAGCCCCCGCCCCATCCCGCCCCGCCCCGGTTTCCCCTCTGGCTTCTTTGCCAGGAGACAGGGCTGCTCACCCTCTCTTAAGGTGGCGGGCGCTGAGCCACTGGCTTGTCACCCTGTCGCTGGCACCGCCTCCGAACCCCTCTCCCGGGTGCCAAGAAGCCGTCCTTCCCGTGGGCGCGCCCCGTGTTTGCCGGGGTGCTCTGGGGCCCTGCGCCGCGTGACTCTGCGCTCCCCGCGTTACCGCTTGTTGCAGGACTGCCGCGTGGAGGGGGGTGGGCGGTGGAGCCCGAAGCAGCTGCCCCTCAGCGGCCACCCCCGCTTTAGGGCCTGGAGAAGCAGCGGCCCTCACAACCGGGCGGAGGCGCCCTGGCGACCGACCTGGTGGCGCGGCCTCCGTTACCTCTGGGTGCCTCTCTGCCCAGCAAGCTGCCCGCTCCGCACACGCGTGATTCCCCGAGCCGGGTCCGGGGCAGAGCTCTGGGGAGGATGGCTCGAGCGCCGAAACCAGCGGCTTAGCGAGCATCCCTGCAGCCGTAGGGGCGAGGGACTTTCAGACTGTGACACAAAGACCTTGTCCTTCCACACGCGGTTAATGTGTGCAGCGAGTTCTGCTGTGAGGCAGCCTGTGCCTGCCTCAGTTACCACAGGCAAAGCGTGCAGTGAAACCACCGGCTCTGGGCAGAAACGGGGTTAAGGGCATCACAGTTCAGAAGCTCCAGCAGCCACCAAAAAGGAGAGGAAATAAATGAAAAGACCTTAAATAACTAAAAAGGTCGGGCTCCACTCAGACAGCACAGTGTACAGCTGTACTAAGGGGCGAAGGACTGCAGGTGCGCAGCAAACCTGGCGCAGGGCCTTGAGAGGTGGGTAGGAGGCGGCTCCCCGAGTGAGGTGGTGGCAGGGAGACGGCTGATGGGCTGCTCTGACCCCGGGGGCCGGTGCCCCTGTGCGCCCCCCAGCCCATCCCGGGGCCCCTTCAGCAGCGTCTGCAGGCGCAGCCCTGTCTCGGGTCCCTGCTTAGTGCAAATCCGCATTTTCAAAACAAAGCCAGTGTGGAGAACAGGCAGGCGCTGTCTGCCGGAATTGTCTGCAAACCGGGGGCCTTCGTGGCCTGGGTCTCAGCCCCTCTGGGAGAGGACGCTGAGGCTGGGAGAGGCTCAACCTGCCCGTAGCAGGCAGCTAAGAACAAGTTATGCAAATCAGCCAAAGTAGACAGACAGCCCAGCAGGCGCCTGGAGGAAGGTAACTTGCATCAATACAAATGGCCGGTCAGAGGGGGGCGCTGCCGGCTTCCGGGCAGAGGAGCAGGGAGCTGGGTGTGAGCTCTCCAGAGCACGCTGCCCCTTGGCCCCCCGTGGAGCTTCTGAAAGAGGGGTGGAGAAGACCCCCACCGCTCGTGAGTAACACAGTAACGTGGGGGGCTACATTCTCCAGCCGCGGTGCTAGAGTGGAGGTGCTCCCTGGTGGTGCTGCCGCCAGCCATGTCGTGTGTCCCCCCCCCCTTTGTGAGGCCTGGGGGAGCCACCGCTGGGGAACAAGCCGGGAAGCAGCTGCCCAGCTGCGGCAGACCTCTGGGGGAGTTGCTGGACCATCTTTTTGCGGACCTCTGGGGGAGTTGCTGGACCATCTTTTTGCCGACCTCTGGGGGAGTTGCTGGACCATCTTTTTTTCATTTAATTGTTTTCTGTAGCTACAATGTTCCATTTATAAATTTTAAAAATCCACTAGCGGTATGGACTGTGCAGGTTGGAGATCAAGTCCCTCCTTGGGGCCTTGGGTCTTACTCCTCAGCACAGCGTCCAGCCCAGAATTGAGGTACCTCACTCGGACAGGCTGGGCCGGGCAGTGCATGTCCGTTTACGTCCCGCTCGCAAACTCCGCCAAGAACCTGAGATGAGGTGGGGCTGGTTACGCGGCCAAGTGTCAGCCACGGCCGTAATGTGGGCTCCTTGCTTTAAAGAGACCAAAGCCCGGTCAGCTCTACTGGGCCCTTGCCCCTTAGTTTAAGAAGCAGCGTCAGCAAAAACCGCGGTGTGGCTTGCGGGAGGGAGGGAAGCCGCCTGTAAGCTGGGCTGGCAGGCCCTCGGGGGCCCGCAGCCCTGGGGCTGCAGCTCCTGGCTCGGGATCATTTTCTAAGCCCCATAAACCCCTGCTTCTCCCAGGCCCCCCTTTCTAGGTTCACGGCTCCCTGCGGAGCCCGAGCCTGCGCCGCTGCTCACGTGGGCCTGGCCAGTGGCTCCCGCGGGTGTGCTCGCGCTCAGCAGAGCCGAGCCCGGCCGGGATGGCCCGTGCTGGCTGGGGCCTGGAGGCGCATGGTGCCCTGCAGGGAGGCTCAAAGCCTCTTCCCTGAAGTCGACCTTCACTGCTCAGTCCCAAGTCCCCTGGCGCCACCCAGCCGGGGCCCATCTGCCGCCTCGGGCACACCACTGCCGCTTGTCCCGCTGGCCACAAGGAGTTTATTTAGGTTGCAGCAGCCCCTGCCCGGGCACGCCGACGGGCCCCCGCCCCATGGCAGCCCGTGTTGTCTGCATCAGAGCTCCTGACGGGACTTGAGGAGGGTCTGGCCCTGCCCGAGGTGTGGCGTGGAGAGGGGCCTCCTGGCTCCCAGCCCCCCGCCCCCCCACATCCAGCCAGGGAGCCATGTTCTTTGCTCCAGGCAGACTGTGTTGGCCCCCGGTTGGGGGTTTATGGGGATTCTGGATACCTTAATAATTTATTAATTTCTCTTAAACGCTTTCCTAAAGCACTTTCTGATCTCATGTTGTACTTGGAATGTAGACACTAAATTGCGTTTTGTTGTGTCTAAACTCTGCTGAGTCCGAGGGCATCTCTGTTGACCTTGAATCACGTCCAGGAAGCTGAAATGGTGCAGGCTACGGTGTCTGTGCGATGTGCCCTTCTCACCCCCATGCAGCGGCTGGGGGTGCTGAGGGTGGCCGGGGGGCGGGGACAGAAGTGCGGCCCGGTCACTCCACCCGGGCAGTGCTGCTGGCCCGGGGTCAGCGTCCAGCCCCGGCTGCCCCACGTGGTCCTGGAGGCCCGGAGGGACTTGCTGGTGGAGGTCGGGGACATGAGTGTAGGTGGTGTCGTGCGCGTGTCCATCCTGGTCAGGCCCTGTAACCCCGAGAGCGTAGGGGTGGGCGGAGAGTGCAGGGAGGGGATGGTAGATGCCGGGACAGGCGCGGCCTGGGGCACACCGCGGCCGTCCTCCTGCAGGGCCAGCCCTGTCGGCCTGGGGCACACCGCGGCCGTCCTCCTGCAGGGCCAGCCCTGTCGGCCTGGGGCACACCGCGGAGTCCTCCTGCAGGGCCAGCCCTGTGAGGAGAAGGGCGAGCGAGGAGTTGCTAGTCCTGGCTGCAGGTGGGTTCTGGTAAGCCTCGCTGCGCGAGGATGAACCCGGGTCGAGGCCGCGGAGCGACTTGAGGCTCTTAGGGTCTCAGGTCTGGAACCTGGTCCCAGAGGGGCACGGCCTCCAGGGGCTGCCTGTCCACGCCGCTCTGCTCGGTGTCCCCACGTGCAAAATGAAGCCCCCAGGGCAACCCTCACTTGGCATGGAGGCAGCACCCCCGGGCCGATAGGGGCAGTCGGGAAAGTGGCCAGAGCGGGGCGGGAGAGGGGGCGCGGAGCATCTGGGTCCCGTCCCCCGTCTTTTGTAGCCACCTTGGCCCTGGGCCCCATGCAGAGGGCAGCAGGGGCTTCCCGGCCCCTTCTGCTGGTCCGTGCAGGCCACTAGATCTCCGTGCCCTGGTTTCTTCGACGAATTTGGGGGACACGGATCCTGGGGTGGCGGCCCAGTTACTCCTTTCCATTTGTTCACAGAGATGCTGCAGTTCGTCAGCAACCAAGTGGGCGAGTTCCCCGACTTGTTCTCTGAGCCGCTGTGTGGCTCCTTCCCTGGCGGCGGCGGCAGCGGCGGCGGCGGCGGCGGCAGCAATAGTGGGGGCAGCACCGTGGACCCCTCGATGCAGCGAGTCTTCAGCCAGGTCCCGCTGGCCCCCTTCTCCCCCTCCACCGCCTCCCCCCCAGCTCCAGCCCTGCAGGTCAAAGTGCCCCCCGCCACGGTCCCCACCCCCCCCAGGGCCACGCCCGTGCTGCAGCCCCGGCCGCAGCCCCAGCCGCCAGCCCAGCTGCAGCAGCAGACCGTCATGATCGCCCCCACCTTCAGCACCACCCCCCAGACCAGGATCATCCAGCAGCCTCTGATCTACCAGAACGCAGCTACCAGCTTCCAAGGTGATTCCGCCGTGCGCCTGGCAGTGGGAGGGTGGCCGGGTGCCCCCCAGGAGCGGCGGGCTGCGGACTGGCCCTCAGGTCTCACGTGCAGCAGCGAGGAGGCCCAGAGGCCTGGATGCCCGTGGGCCGGCCTTGAGGGTGCTTGCTCAGAGACCCGACACACGGGGGTGAGACTGACCTGGGCCCCAGCAGGCGGAGCCGGGGGGGGGGCCTTGGGGTTTTGGGCTTGGGCCTTGGGGCGTGGCGTCTTGTGTCCCCTGTCCGCCCTGCCCCGGGGCTTTCTCATCAGAGTCCCTCTGACCCTGGGGGTCCGCAGGTGGAATTAGTGCTGCCCTGAATTTTAAGGAATCTGACAGCTGTTTCCATGGGCATCAGGGACTTGGGGCTGGGGTGGGGGGCGCTTCCCTCCACTTCCTAGAGGGAGCCCCAGGGAGCTGTCGGCTCCTGATGTCTGTTAACTCCCTTGCGGGTCGCAGTCACTGCTGGTCAGTTTCCCTCACCCCACCCAGCAGCCAGCATGAGACGAGGGCTTGCGCCCCTTCCTCAGGAGCCAGCGCAGCCTGGCTGTTGGTGGCTGGGTGCCTCTCCAGCAGCACCTCACTAGGGGGTGCCCCTTCCAGTGACCAGGTCCGCCTCTGCCTGATTCTCCTCTTCCCTCCAAGTCCTCCAGCCGCAAGTCCAGAGCCTGGTGACGTCGCCCCAGGTGCAGCCGGTCACCATCCAGCAGCAGGTGCAGACGGTCCAGGCCCAGCGCGTGCTGACGCAGACGGCCAACGGCACGCTGCAGACGCTGGCCCCTGCCACCGTGCAGACGGTGGCTGCGCCCCAGGTGCAGCAGGTCCCGGTAGGAGCCAGCGGGGCAGGCGGGGGGCTCTGGTTGGGGCCCTGGGCTGGCCCCTGGCTAAGGAGGGACAGAGAGGGAGGGACAGCCTTGAGGCGCGGCTGCAGGGCCCCTCAGGGCACCGGGGAGCTGGTGGGGAGTCCGGACTGAGTTGGGCCTCGCCTAGACTCAGCACAGGCACGGCCGCGCGTTTGCTCTCGCTGCTGGGAAGCGGGACGGAAGGTGCCGGAGTCTTAAGTCATGTGTCACATGGCTGAGTTTCCTCCGACAAATGTATTTTTAAAAGAAAATCCAGGTTTATCATCTGTTGTGGACTCTGTTGTCTCTCCCCGCTGCCATCCACGCCAGGCCGGCTGTGCCCCGCGAGGCCTCTGGCACTGCTCCCCGCAACCTCTCAGCCCGAGCCCAGGACCCTGCGGCAGGGCCCTGCCCCCCTGCCCGCACAGGGCGCCCGCTGTGTGCACGGCAGTGCAGACGGCAGTGTGGGAGCCCGTTTCACGGCAGTCTCGGTTTTTCATCCTCTCCTGGAGGGTCCGTGCGGTGAGAGCTGGTACAGGTGCCAGACGAGCCACACTGTCCTCTTCTCCATCCAGGTCCTGGTGCAGCCTCAGATCATCAAGACGGATTCCCTCGTCCTGACCACGCTGAAGACGGATGGCAGCCCTGTGATGGCCACGGTCCAGAACCCGGCCCTCACTGCCCTCACCACCCCCATCCAGACAGCCGCCCTCCAGGTACCGGTAAGAGCCCCGCCCCGTCCGCCGGCTTGTCAGACCTAAGCGCTCACAGGGCCTGCGCGCAGGGCCCCGCCGGAGCCCGTGCGCCACGTCGCCAGTTGCAGGCGTCGCTCCCGGGGTCTGCTTTCCCCCCAAGCAGCACCGGCGCCTGCCATGTCAGTGCTCGGGCCTGGGAGGGCTGGAGAGTGACTGCAGTGACGCCCTGGGCCCTGGGCGGCCGTCATGGGTGGGACCGCAGCCAACTTCAGCATCTGTGGCCAGAGCTGAGTGAAAGCGATTACAGTTCCAAAGCCAGCTTTATTCCTATAAAAGCCAAGGCCGGAACCAACCCAGATGTCACCCACCGGAGAATAAGCCAGTGACGATAGAGTCGTGCAGTGCGGTTTGCCCAGCAATTCGGGAAAAGGCCGTGGGCACCTAAACTCCGTAGCCGAGTCCTGAGGTGGCGTGGGGAGCAGAAGAAACAGCCATGGTGACAGGCGGTCACATGGTCCCCCCAGTGGGGGGCGCGGCCCTGGGCAGGGCCAGCGTGGCCTGCGGCTGACTCGGGCGCCTCGGTGACCCGCCTGCGCCCCCAGGAAGCTTCGCTGTACTGTGCGGTTCCGTCTGAGCGCGGTGCCGGCGAGGCGCTGTGCTTGTTCATGGCCATTTGGGTGCGGAGGCCGTTTAGTGAAGCTGGAATTCCAGTTAGAAGAGAAGCAAAAGAAGGGGGCTCCGTGGCGTTCACGTGGTGAAGCCACTGTGCTGGCAAGTGTCGGCTGCCTCGTGCCTCCTGGTGGCCAGGGTGGACAGGCGGTGCCGCGGGCTGCCTGCTAGCCACGTGAGGGCCCGCGTGCCGCATCCCAAGAGAAAGCTCTCCCTGAGGTGTGAGTGGGGTGCCCGCTGTGTGGTCAGCAGTTTGATGGCCAAGCAGAAGCCAGGGGCCTGCCTGCGCTCGCGCAGACCGCGGCGGCGATCCTGGGAGGGCTGGCCGCAGGCGCGGGGCTCCGGCGTACCCGGCCCGCGCGGTGGGACCTGCGGCGCCACAGGCGGCTGGCGCTGTGAGGTCGTGCGCTCAGCTCACCACGGTGCCTCTGTCTGCGCCCTTCTAGACCCTGGTGGGCAGCAATGGGACCATCCTGACCACCATGCCCGTGATGATGGGGCAAGAGAAAGTGCCCATCAAGCAGGTGCCCGGGGGGGTCAAGCAGCTCGAGCCCCCCAAAGAAGGAGAAAGGCGGACCACACACAACATCATTGAGAAGCGCTATCGCTCGTCCATCAATGACAAAATCATCGAGCTGAAGGACCTGGTCATGGGGACGGACGCCAAGGTGGGTGCCGTGCAGTGGCCTTGGGGCCTGACCACTGTGGGGCCGAGGGGAGCCCCGCGCAAGCTGCCCCCAGGCAGGGACTGCGGGTCGCTCAGGCAGCGAGTGCCGGACCCTTGCTGGGCTGTCGCCCCTTCGGGCTGGCGCCACCTTTAGGAGAGAAGGGGGGGCTGGGCCATGGCCAGCAGCCAGTGGAGGAAATTGACTCCCCGTGTATTCTGGTGCATGCGTGAGTGTCCCCTGGCACGTAGGTGGCACGTGCCTGCTCACCTTCCTTCACCTCCATTTTGAAAGAAATTGCCCTTTTCCACCGCGCCGCCACACCGGGTGCCGGGAGGTGTCGCTCTAGCCAGGCTGGCTGGGCCCAGAGCCTCATCTCCCTTAGCCGCCCGCAGCCAGCCTTGGGTCCCGCGTCCCGTGCTCCACACTCGTTCGCCCCATTTTAAGGAAGAGGCCAGTGAGGCTCAGGTGGCGGTGACCCGGCCTGGGCAGCGCCGCCTGCTTGGCTCACCGTGTCGCTCGCCTTCTCCCCAGATGCACAAATCCGGCGTCCTGCGCAAGGCCATCGACTACATCAAGTACCTACAGCAGGTCAACCACAAGCTGCGCCAGGAGAACATGGTGCTGAAGCTGGCAAACCAGAAAAACAGTGAGTGTGCGGGGCTTCGGCCTTGGCTTGCCGGAGGCGCCCTGTGCTGGGCCTGGGAGGACACGCTGCTGGGCACAGAGCCTTCAGGGGCACCGCGGGGACGGGGTGCCCCCACCCCGCTGGGGCTCTGGGCAGACAGCCTGATTGCCAGAGGGTCTCGCCTGCAGAGCTGCTGAAGGGCATCAATCTAGGCACCCTGGTGGACAGTGAAGTGGACCTGAAGATCGACGACTTCAACCAGAACGTCCTCCTCATGTCTCCCCCGGCGTCCGACGCAGGCTCCCAGGCCGGCTTTTCCCCCTACTCCATCGACTCTGAGCCTGGAAGCCCCCTGTTGGATGACGCAAAGGTATGACGAGCTCTTGACAGTCCCAGCCTCTGGGAACGTCCATCTCCCTGAGTTAGCAGTGCGGAGGCCAGAGACCGGCCAGCCAGGGCTTCAGGCCCAGCTGGAGAGGACGTGAATTCAGTGACGTCAGCCAGGGCCTGGAGAATAAAGAGCCAGAAGCTGACGGGGCGAGGGCGCGAGCCCCTGGTCCTGCAGAGGGGCCTTCAGAGAGGCGCGGGCCACGCTCAGGAGGGAACGCACAGCAGCTGCCGCGGGGCCCCTCGTCACGTCCCTCCACCCTAGGGCTCCCGGCAGGACGAGGCTGCTCTGGGCCGGCTTCCAGGAACGGCGGCAGCTTGCGGTCTAACCCGGGCCTTTCAGCCGTGGGCTCTGGTCACCCGCGAGAGCCCCTGGCGGTTGTCGCCTAATGGAGTCAGTGAAGAGGCTCGGGCCTGACGTCTCCCGGCTCCCTGGGGACTGCTGGGGCTGCTGTGCTGAGCTTTGACGCTGGCAGTCCTGACGGGAAAGGACAGTCCGGCGAGGTGCCGGCGACCGCTTAGCGTGCCGTGGACTCCTTTGTTTGCTTTAAACTAAGGAAAGGCCAGTTTTTGAAAATGTCTGTAAGTGGCTCTGCTGAATAGCACAAGGCCTCAGGGCGCACACCGAGCCAGACAGTGGGCTTCAGAAGACACTTTAAGTGGCTCTAAAATACTGGAAAGACGTCGCATGCCGTGCTCTCCTCGGGCTGGGGACGTGGGGCTTCAGCCCCTCCCTGCCTCTCGGGGCCCCCCAGGCCCTGCCTCGCCCCACGTGTACGCGAGAGCAAAGCACGGCCCGCGCGCAGGCGCGTCCCATCCTGCCTCTGTCTCGAAGGTCAAAGATGAGCCCGACTCCCCTCCGGTCGCGCTGGGCATGGTGGACCGCTCCAGGATCCTGCTGTGCGTGCTCACCTTCCTGTGCCTGTCCTTCAACCCGCTGACCACTCTGCTGCGGTGGGGAGGGGCCCGCGACGCCGACCCGCACCCGCACTCCGGGCGCAGCATACTGTCCCTCGAGTCAGGTGGGTGCAGGCGCGGCGCGGCTGCTGTTCGGCCTGGCACGGAGAGGCGACGGCAAACCCAGGCTCGTCACGGGGCCCCGTGCAGGGGGCGGGGAGGGCGGGCGTCTGCTGGGGCGGCTTGAGTCAAGAAGCCAGCGACCCGTCCCCCAGCTAACGGAGGGCGCCCAGCGCCCGGGGCCGGGGTTCCTCGCGGGACCGGGCGGCGCCCCGTCTTCCCAGCATCTGGAGCGAGATGTCCGTTCTCCTCCCTGGAGCACTAGACATTCCGCGCAGGCAGGCCGTCTTCGGAAACGAGGGAGAAGGGCTTCCGCGGGCTCAGCTGAGGTGTCCCCTTCAGGTTCCGGGGGCTGGTTTGACTGGATGATGCCGACGCTCCTCTTATGGCTGGTGAACGGCGTGATCGTCCTGAGCGTCTTTGTGAAGCTGCTGGTGCACGGGGAGCCCGTGATCCGGCCACACTCGCGGTCCTCCGTCACCTTCTGGAGGCACCGGAAACAGGCGGACCTGGACCTCGCCAGGGTGAGCGCCATCTGCCTTCCTGCCCAGGCTCAGAGTTTTCTTTTGGAGTGAAAGAGGAAAGTTAGCAAGGACTTAGGGGCACCCCAGGGTGGGGGAAGCCGCCCCTCTCGGGAGGGACGACTCGGCAGAGGTGAGCCGGCGGCCTGCTCCCCTCCCCGCCGTGTCCGCCCTGCCCGGGCCTGGCTGCCGGGCGGCAGCTGTGGCCTTCAGGGCCAGCCCTTTGGGCGAGGACTGTCCTGGAGTCAGGCGTCCGGGCGTGGCCTGGCAGGCTCAGTGTGTGGTGTGGTGGTCTCCGGCGGAGGCTGGGGCCTGGGGCATGAGGCACGGCCGGGGAGGTGGCCGGGCCAGAACTGAAAGGAGTGAATTCAAAAACTGTTTGACAGAACTTGATGGTCGAGTGGGGTGAGCGACACGTGGCTGGCTCCTCCCGTGTCGCTTGGGAGCGCCCGGCGAGGGTGGCAGGGGGAGCCCCGCACCCACTAGGGACAGCGGCGGAGAGGTGGCTTCGTGAGCAGAAGAGGCAGAGCTGGTGCCTGGGCAAGACGGGGCGGGGCCAGAGGCTCGGGAAGGCTGCCTCCTTGGGGCTGAACACGCGCTGCTGGCGGGGAAGGCCCGCCGCCCCTTGCCGAGGGGCCCTCTCAGGGCCTCCTGGTGACCCGGCTGCCCCGTCCCAGCCCACTTCCTGTAGGATGCAGGGAGGGGGGCCGGGTCTCCCCCGGCACAGCATAGGGTCAGGCGGGAGAGTCCACTTCCATTTCCCGCGACCGAGTCTCTGAGCCCCGGTTACACTGGGAGCCAGAGAGGGGCTTTAGCCCTGTGCTGAGACCCCCCCTGAGTTTCTGGGGTCCGCAGAGTGGTCTGCCCAGGTCCTTGGTTAGTAGGGTGCTTTAGCTATGCACTTGCCCAAAACCAGGGTTCCCGGGCATCAGCTGATCAGAATCACCTGGGGTACCCCAGTCCAGAGGCTCTGATTTTATAGGTCCTCGGCTAGGGGCGGGACCTCATAAGTGCCCACAAGACCCCACAAGTTCTCAGGGCTGAGGCTGCCAGACCCAGGCCCAGCTGAGGGCTGGGGCCCCGCCCCGTGGGGACTGAGCGGCCTGGGACCCGGCACCCTGCGGGCCACGCCAGCGCGTGGTCAGCGGGCAGCGCTCTTGCTGGGCGGTGTGCTTGCCACCGGCTTCCTTTTCCTTTCTCCTAGTTCTCCCAGCTGCCCAGGTTTTCCTCGAGGAGCACGTGCTCTTCTGGTCACGGGGTGATGGGAGCACACTGGGGGTTTAATTTGGACACAGGAAGCCACCTCAGGCCCGTGGCCATCGCCCCTTGTTGCTGCCTTCTAGGGGGACTTTGCCGCTGCTGCCGCCAACCTGCAAACCTGCCTGTCGGTGCTGGGCCGGGCGCTGCCCACCTCCCGCCTGGACCTGGCCTGCAGCCTCTCCTGGAACACCATCCGCTACAGCCTGCAGAAGCTGCGCCCAGTGCGCTGGCTGCTCAGGAAGGTCCTGCAGCGCTGGCGGGCCGCGGCCGCGGGCTTCGAGGACGAGGCGAAGGCCAGCGCCCGGGACGCAGCCCTGGCCTACCACCGGCTGCACCAGCTGCACATCACAGGTGGGCGCGCCTGAGGCCCCCGCAGCCACTGCGGGCTGGGCCTGTCCCCCAAACAGGGGCGTGGCCTGGCTGCCTCGGTGGTTTTGCTGACACTTAAGTGGAGGCGTCGCCGAGCCGAAGAGTGACCGCTCTCATCCAGCGCTCCTCTGCGCCAGGCAGACGCGCGGCCAGCGGGCGAGTCGCCGTTCGGCGTGGCCCAGCTCGTGGAGAGGGCTTCCGTGGGCTTTCAGGAAGGGCTCCCTGGGCAGCCGGGGCTTTGGTGGAAGGGTCCAGAGGCACCGGCTCTCAGAAGCCGGAGGCGTCTCTGTGGCTGACCTCCCTGCAGAGAGGACCCGCAGCGCCCCGAGGGAGGGGCCTGTGCCCACACGTGGGTCCTGGGCTGCCGCCCCGCGTGCCACAGTGGGCTCCGTGGGTCTTCGCCGCCGAACCCCAGATGCTCTGGCTGTTAAGTTTTGTGTCCCGCCCAGGGCGCGTGCTTACATGTCGTGGGCCTTTTAACTTATTTTAAAGATTTATCTTGGGCCCGCCCTGGGGGCGCAGCAGGTTGGAGCGCTGCACTGTGAAGCTAAGCCAAGCCGGGCCGTGGCTGCTTCGGCGCCAGTTCCGTCCCCACCCTGTAGCTGACCCACAGGGCGCGGCAGACCTCTCCTGACTGCCTGTTCTGCTCCCCACTCTGCCTCTGGTGAATCTTTTCAGCCCCTGCATCTCTGGCCTGTACCCCAACCTCTGGCCTGCACCCCACTTCTGTATGCATAAATAAGTAAAATCTTTTTTAAAAGATTTATCTTTACTCATTTATGCATATAAAACCTGGGGCCGAGGCCAGTGGTGCAGGGGCTGAGGGGATTCAGCCGAGGATTCCTGCCGTGTCAGGAAGCAGCCGCTGGCACAGGCCGTGTGAGCGCACCTCAGCGTGCCCTGGGCACTGTTGGGAATGCTGCGTGCATCCCTCCGGGGCCCGCCAGCAGCCAGCAGTCCTGACCGCCTTCTTTGTTCAGAGCGGGTGCCAGGTGCCCGACGCACGTTTCTCTTGTCCCCACGCCCTGGGAGGGGGGCAACGCTCAGACCCCAGGCCGCAGGGCCCCCACCTGCGCGCTCCTGGGGTGGCTCAGGCCGTGCCTGAGCACGCGGGAGAGGCTCGGCTCGGCCGTCTCCAGGGTCGGTGTCTCTTGCCCACCGCAGGGAAGCTTCCTGCAGGATCTGCCTGCTCGGACGTACACATGGCCCTGTGTGCCGTGAACCTGGCTGAATGTGCGGAGGAGAAAATCCCGCCCAGCACGCTGGCCGAGATCCACCTGACCGCCGCCATGGGGCTGCAGACCCGCTGCGGGGGCAAGCTGGGCTTCCTGGCGGTGAGTGCCCTTCCGCCCGCGCTCTGCCCGGCCGGCGCTGAGGCGCGGGGTAGGTAGGGTCCCCTGGGTCCGCCCTCCCGGAGGGAGACGTCCGTCCAGGGGGCGTCCGCGGGTGCTCACTGAGGGCACAAACCACCCCGTGTCAACCCTCATCAGCGTAGTCAGCACAATTTTGGCCTGAGGTCAGAAGATTGACTCAGAGGGGCGGGAGCTGGGGTTTCTGTGACTTCTGTTCTTCTAAGTAGTCAGAGTTCATGGAATCTCCCACTTGCATCTCTTTGGTTCTTTTATTTTCTTAAAAGATAACTACTGGGCACTGTGGGTCCAGAAGCGGGGAGGTCCTTGGGCCAGCGGCGCCCCGGCACGGAGCCAGCGCGGAGATGAGGCTGCCCGCGCGGCTCTTCCGTCCCGCTTCCGGCTGGGCTGCTGGGGTGCCCGGGAGGTGGCCTGTGGTGGCCGGTGCTGGGCGCAGGGCGTGGGGCCGCCGTGCGCGTTCTGTGCCTCGGCCCCCTTCCGAGACGCCCCCTCAGCCCGCTGCCCCCCAGACGCGGTGGCGGTGCGGCCGCCCTCCTCGGGCGCAGCACCCCGAGGGCTGCTCAGCGCCCCGTGTCCCACGGCCTTCACCTCCAAAGAGAAACTGTCCGGAGGACCCGCAGTTTCACTGGGGCACTTCGGGGTGCCCTGGCACACCGTGAGAAAACCACGTTGGGCCCCTGTGTGGGCCGCGCCTGGGCTCCCGGGCGTCAGTGTTTCTGCCTGTCCTGTCGCCACCCCGACTCGGCGATGAGCGCAGCACCTGCCGGGAGCCGGCCCTGGGGTGATGGCTGGTGGCTGTAAAACTTAGGAAATGACCATAGAGTAATAATGCCAAGAAAATGAAATGAGCAACAGAAATTATTTCCTCAATTTCCCTTATAGAAGCCATACTGGGGTGACTGTCCCAGGATTTATTTTTCATATTAATTCAGAGCACTAAATTCTCCCCCTGCCTCCGCACTGAGATGTGTTAGGTTTTCTTCTCTAGAGAATTCAGCTAAATCTGTATCCTAACTTCACGGTTAAACAGCTCCCCCGTGTTCCTCGTGTGGCACAGCCTGGCCAGACTCGGGTCTGTGTTCGGTGACGTCTGGGTTCTGCCAAGAGACCAGCGGGCCCCGATTTCCAGGCTCCGCTGCTCATCCGGGGTTGTGGGCTCTCGAGACAGGGCTGGGCCAGCTGCTAGAAGGTTCTTGGGCTTGGCACACTGGAACCTGCCCCCCAGGAGGCCGCCCTGTCGGGGCGGAAGGTCCCTCTCTTGCTCTGAGGCACTTTTGCCAGGCCTGGTGGCCTGCGGAGAGGAGGCAGACGCCGGAGCCCGCCGTCGGGGAGGGAGCGGGGTGGCCCCTTCCCCGCTGTCCCCCCCGTGCTCCGAGTGGGGTTCAGAGATGCTATTTCTGACCCTGACATTCAAGTCTCGAGGCGGCACAGCAGCTGCTGGCTGCTTGGAGTCCAGCAAAGGTCACAGCTGTCAGGCAGCCTGACGAGGAGGCGGCAGAGGCCCCGTGTGAGGTCAGGGTCCGCTGGCCGCCCAGCGCCCCGGCTGGGCTCCTGGGTGTCACGCTTCTGCCTGCCCTCCTGCTCCGCTCGGCTGCTCCTTCCAGCGGCCGCGTGAGAGTCACGGGTGTGCGGGGGAGGCAGGACCCTCGGGGAGTGGGGCCGGTGAAGACGGGACAGGTCGCCTTGTCCTGGCCGCCCAGCCCGGCCCCGCCAGCGCCGCCTGGCCCTTGGTGGCGCTGACCCCCGGCCCGAGGGCCCCGCCCCCGCAGTCCCAGGGGCTACGGGCTGCGTCCGCGGCCCCTGTGTCACCCGGTGCTGTCGCCCCGCAGAGCTACTTCCTCAGCCGGGCCCAGAGCCTGTGCGGCCCCGAGCGCAGCGCCATCCCCGACTCCCTGCGCTGGCTCTGCCACCCGCTGGGCCGGAGGTTCTTCCTGGAGCGGAGCTGGTCGGTGAAGTCGGCCGCCAGGGAGAGTCTGTACTGCGCCCAGAGGAACCCAGGTGAGAGCTCGGCACAGCCGTGGGGAAACGGGGGCGTGTGCGCCCCTGGGGCGGCAGGCGACCGCACCCCAGTTGCGTGGGACAGTCGTCTCGGGGCCCAGGGGCCGGCCAGCAGTCCCCTCCCGCTGACCTGCCAAGCATCCGCCATGCCGCTCTCTGGTTCTGGGGCTTTGGAGAGTCGGGGGTCCTGGCCTGGCAGGCGGCCCCAGCTTGAGTGGCGGCAGGGGCAGGCTGGCGGGCAGGGGAGGCCGCTGTCCCTGTGCTCGGCTTCCGGGGGACAGCGTGAGGGGTGGCTTCCGCAGTACAGCGGCATGTCTCAGATTTTGGGGGGTGGGGAGAGAACAGCAACCACTGTTCTTTTAAATGAGTTTATGCTCAACATAAGGAGGGTGAAGTGCAGCGGCAAGTGGGTGCGATCTGGCCTCACCCTGCTGCGCCCGTGCCTCGGGCGGCCTCCACCGCTCTGCTTCCTGCCTCTGCACCAAGCAGGTTGCAGGCGCTGGTCACCTGCTCTGGCCTGGCCACGGGACAAGACCCCTTGCTTCCTCAGCCAGACCCTGGCTGGCCTCACGTCAGTGTCGAGGCTCTGGAAGGAGCAGCCACTGCCTGTCCTTGCCGGCTGACGGCTCCTGGGCCCCAGCGGGAGGGGCAGTCCCTGACACTCGGTTACTGTTTTCTGGCGAGGCTTGTGGCCGCCACCATACAGCTCCTGGCCCTGACGGAAGTAGCCCACGCCGGGCCAGGTGACACGGTGCGCACGCACCCCCACCCACACGCCTCAGCCCACAGTCACCCCCTGGCACCCCCACCCACACGCTTCAGCCCACAGTCACCCCCTGGCACATGCACACAGCGGCCGGTTAGAACCAGAGTCGGGGCCTGCAGGCGGGGTGACCACACTCCCGCCCCGCCCCGCCCCTCTGACCATCTGGTTGTTCCGGGGTTGACGAGAGGGGGGCTTGATCCCCACTCAGAGACCATGACTGTTTCCCCACACTCTGTTCAAAAAGACTCGTAAGTGACTCTGCCCGCCCCTCCCCCAGCCGACCCCATCGCTCAGGTGCACCAGGCCTTCTGCAGGAGCCTGCTGGCGCGAGCCGTGGAGTGCCTGGTGAAGCCCCAGGCCAGGAAGAGGGCCGGCGGCCAGGACGAGGAGAGCTGGTAGGCCTGGCCGCGTGCCCGCGCGCCCGGGGGACAGCTCGGGACAGGGCTGGCAGGGAAAGGGGGCCCTTCCTAGCTGCCCCTCAGACCTGGCAGCCGGGGAGCCCTGGGGAGCTCTGACGTGGGCCACGTCAAGGCCTGGCGTAGTGGTTCAGGGGGCAGAGCTGGGGTGCCCTGGCATCGGGGGAGGAGGCCAGAAACGTGCGTGGGAGCTGGAACGCGAAACAGCCAGTCCACACACAGGGTCCTGAGCCCATCTGATGTGCTTGGGACCTTTCTAGTGAATTCTCCAGTGCCCTGGAGTTCCTGAAACTACTCAATTCTTTCGTGGACTCTGTGGGGGTTGCGCCTCCTCCCTTCTCCAGCAGCTCCGTGCTCCAGTCAGCCCTTGGTGAGTGCCGGGAGGCCCCGGCCCCGGCCCCGGCTCTGGCCCCGCCCCTCCCCGCCCTGCGTCCAGGCACCCAAGGTTAGGGGACAGTGTGCGCTCAGAGTCTCCTGGGTGCGAGTTTGTATCTAGGCGGCAGGCAGGCGGTCTGCCTCGCAGCTACCCCCGACTGGGTGGCCCCGGGCAGGGAGGAGTGACCCCTCCAGACTGGGGGAAGCCAGTGCCCGTGTCCCTGCGCCCCGCTGGAGGGGGCCGAGCTCGGCGCCTGGCTGCCCAGCCTCCGCCGGGAGGCTGCCGGGGACTGCGGAAGGGGAGCCCAGGGAAGTAGCCGCCCGTCATTCCCGCGGCCTTGCGGCACCCTCATCTCAGCCTTCCGCCTCACGCAGCTGAGGGGCCCGGAGGGAGGAACCTGCCACTACGGATGCCTGAGCGACGCCGTCTCGGGCTTTTAAGTTTAGGTTGTTTCTAGCTTTTTACTTAAAAATAACTTAAAAAAATATATATGGAACCCTATTTTTCCCACTGAGGTCGATTTCTTGTGACAGATTGCCCACAGTGGGTCCCTAGGCTGATCGCAGCGCCCAGGTGTAGCGACCCTGGCGCCCATTTGGGGAGGGCGCCCCGGGGGGCGGGGGGCACAGGCCGCAGGGCACCCGGGGCTGGCCCCGGGGAGTCTGGGCTGACGCTGGTGCTGTGCCCCCCAGGCCCTGACGTCGTCTGTCGCTGGTGGTCCTCGGCGGTCACGATGGCCATCGGCTGGCTCCAGGGGGATGATGCAGCTGTGCGTGCCCATTTCACCGAAGTCGAGCGTGTCCCCGCAGCCCTGGAAGTGACCGAGTACGTCGGTCTCCTTGCCACTGACTGTCTCAGGGCGGGCCCAGACCGCGCGCAGGGCCCCTGGTCTGAGCGGGAGAGCGGGTCGGGCCCTGAGCGGCGGGCAGCGGTGTGGGGAGGGAGAGGGCACCGCAGAGGCCGAGCGTGGCCAGTGTGCCGCTCCTTGCACGTCCTTTGAGTAGCCGGCCTGTGTCCCGGCGCGTGTGGCAGGAGGGCCGCAGGCTCGGGCTGTCGGTGGGCAGCGCCTGAGCCTGCCCTCGCCTGCCCCGCAGGAGCCCCCTGGTCAGGGCCGTCCTGCACACCTGCAGAGCCATGCACGCCTCGCTGTCCGCGAAGGCCGAGGGGCAGCAGAGCTCCTTCGGCCACTGCGAGAGGGCCAGCGGCCACCTGTGGAGCAGCCTCAACGTCAGCGGCGCCTCCTGCGACCCCGCCCTCAACCACGTGAGTGGCCGGTGGGGCCCTCCCCCAGCGCCCTGGGGTCCTCGCACG